TTTATATGGATGTGTATATGTATATATATATAGATGTATAGATATACGTGTGTATGAGGGGTAGATGGGGACTTGTAGGATTTCTCGGATCTGAATATCATTCCCTACCTAGAGTAGACAACCCTCATTTTTGAATTATTGAAATTTCAGAAACCGGAAAAAAGCTCGATCCTAATTCTTGAATTCTTCCTGCTAATTTTAAAAATTTTATCAATATAGAATTCAAAAAGCAAATAATAGAGAACATGAACTTTTATGTATTTGTGTTTGATTTTCAAAGAAAAGGAAAGATCATACTGTTTACTACTGAGATACATTTCATTTCCGTTTTAGATGTTTATGCTAGATTTATTTCCATGTCGGTTGTTGCATCAAAAACCTTAGGTTTAAGTAAACGTTATTTTTGTAACCTTCTGATATAATCTCTGTATACATTCGGAGAAATTCCATTATGGCATTCTAAACTAAAGCTATCGAAAAACACAAAATGTATCTTGTACGAAAAGAGATTGAAACACGGCCTTGGCTTTGATCGATGTAAAGACTTTGAAAATGGAGAGCAAATTTGCTGCTTTGTTATATAAATAAATATTTTTCTACTGTGATTCGTTATATGTTTTCATGCCAGACAAAATCAATTTTCTGTCTTCTTTTTTACTTTAACCATTTATTATTTAACTTTTAACAACACATGAATTTTTATTAAATGCACAAAGAAAAAATAACGACCAGACTGAGTTATTTAACAAAAAAACGTTCATTTAAAATAACCAAAGAACATCCAGGAAAGTAACGAGAGTTACTAATAAATAGTCTATTCTATTGTAACTTTAAGTCATGTTTCTTGAGTATCGACAAAACATAGCTCTTGATTATAAACAATATACGCATGTGCTAAAGTAAATAAAGTGAAAACATTTTAGATTCATAGTGTTGTTTCCACTAACTTCTGTAACTCCTTCCTCTGAAATTCCACTGAGACAGATCAAAAGCTCCTGTCGAGAAAAGAAGTTGAAAAAAAAGATCCTTCGCCGTTTCTTTACATGTTTCCAAAACAATGTAATGTGGTATTGCTTCTTTAGCGATCCCGTTCCTTTTAAACTTGATCTTGTTTACTTAAAAATAGTTTGTGTTTAATTTCAACAAACAAACGCAGCTATGCTTGCAGACAAGTCTATGTTGCACAGTGCATAAAATTGTCAACGAAAAACCTAAAAAATTACATTTTTTTAATGATTCTACTATGAGTACAACAAAAAGGGGAAAAGGAACTAATGCATAATTGTATGTCAATAAAGTAGTAAGATTGTCATATGAGATCAGAAGAAGTCGGAAAGGGGAAATAAGCTGCTTTCCAGACTGGAGTACAAGGAAATCAAGAAAAAATATTTTTATCAATCATACATAGCAAATGGATCTGTTTGAGCAATAAAGTCAATGACATCATTGAATACTACTTTAATTTCTTCAGATGTTGAAGAAGTTTGCAAAAATAGAGTTTTCAAGTCAAAACTCAAAAGCGGGATAGATCTAGCTGAAATATCGAGATTAGAGCTAATCGCGCAGTGTCATATAATGGACATTCCAAAAATAATGAAAAAGATTTTCTTCTGTTACATTGTCCCACGAGCAAAAAGGGTTAGAAACAAGACCACGAAGGTGCAGATTCCTCATCAACTGCGATCCCCCTCAACTTCACATCGACAATAATCAATGTCGGCATGTCTATTGCTAGTATCCAGTAACATTGGAATTTCTCTCAGCGATAATAAACTTTTCTTCAATTTTGGTATCCCACATATCAGCTGTGTTTCCACTGATAATTCATTGTATTCTCTCGCTTTACGATATATCATTGAAAATATAATTCAAATGAGGACGCGAAGTTGGAAGTAGCATCGTCTCACGACTTCGTGTTGAGTATGAAAAAACAGTAGATGAATCTGAACGTGATCGCAGCAGGCTTTTTAAAAAAGGTGTTTTTCCCGTAGCTATTTTTTGAAATAAAATTAACCTGTGTTACTTAAAAACATCTCGCAACGACGGTTTTCATCCTAAATCTCTAAACACTCACGTCTTTGAACTATGCACCATAGCACCTGACACTGCTCTTTCAGCTTGCACTATGCTGACTCAAGTCGATCAAGATTTCTATCAAATGTATTTCCATATCGCTGATGCGTAAATGAACAAGTTTAAAACAAATGACTAGTACACTGAATATAATACCTGTCTAGATAACGCACGTGTATGAAGCTTCAAAAGACCAAGTAAACGACTTACTTTACTTAAAACATAATCTATGTGCGCTGTCTAGTCTAGATTTGACCTTAAAATTAAGTCTAACTGTTTTTATTCAACAACATAGGAAATAGGTTGACCAAGACGGGTGGTAGAGCATCGAGAGTATCACGTTCACGAATAGAAAAAATCATAGCTTTACATTTATCAATATTTAAATACAATTTTCAAGTTATAAACTATTCGTAAATTAAGAGTGAATCTTTATTTACTTAGTCTACAGCTTTTCTAATATCGTTTTTCTCTGTATTGCGGTAGAGTGAGGCATCGTCAGCAAACAACCGCATTGTTGCACAAACATTATTGTCAAAATCATCAGTAAAAATTAGAAACATTAACGATTCCAAGACCAAGTCTTGGGGCACTCCTCTACCAACGATTCTTGCTGCCAGCGTAATATAGCCCACTGTTGCCACAATGTCTCTATTTAAGAGATAGCTTTCAAACCAAGTCATTAATGACGGAAGTAATCCTTTTGCTTTTAACTTTACTAGTAAACCCTTATGCCAAACGGTGTCAAATCCTTACGAAAATCTAGAAAAACACTTAAGACTCGTTCCCTGTTATCAAAAGCTAACAAGATCTCATGAACTATGGGTCAGCTATGGCGATCAATTGATTAATAGTAGAAACACCATGTCTAAATCCTAACTGATTCGTACTTAGAAGGTTTTACTTTGTTAAATATTCGTACACTTTCCGATGAATCAAACGCTTAAGTATTTTTGACAAAAAAGGCAGTGGTGTTATCGGACGATAATTATTCACTTCATGAAGGTCCTCTGACTTAAAAATCGATGTAACATAGCCAAGTTTCCAAGCTTTAGGAAACTGCTCCTGTTCTAGAGATTGATTGAATAAATAGGTTATGATCGGACTTATAACACGTGCAGCTTCTCTACCTATTCTCGATGACAGACCAGACGCAGTAGCTTTACTACAATCAATTTTACACAGTAATTCAAAACCTTCACTTTCAAAAATATGGAATTTCGACATCGAGAATTTCCTAGATGTTGGAACAACTAACGGCACATCATTAACCTCGCTAAGTGGCATTGAGCAATCCGTCGCGAAATGTTTGTTTAAAAGCTCAGCCTTTTTTCTGGATCTCTCATTAGTTCGTTTGAAGAGCTGTAAAACAGATTCGCTTTGATAGGTGAGCTTTTTCCCATGTGCTGATCTGTTATTCAATTGATATTAGTGAAACTATAGCACAAGGGTTTTTAAGATGATCTACTCCCGATAGGATACCGCACGGCTTTCTGAATCGTCTAGCGTAATTATAAGTAACTATCTGGAAATTTAAGCTAAATTCAAGAAATTATATCTAGACTGAAGACACACTGTGTGATAGCATTAGTCAAACTCAGTTCCCAAATATCAAACAAATATGGAAGAAAGGAGCAATTGAAAGAAAGAAACTTACTTGATTTTTTTAACTCAGTATTCTGAGAATATTTTTAACTGTATCAGGTACTACATCGGCTGCAACTGGTGTATTAATCGCACAAAATTCAAAGGCAGCGCATATCCATTTGGCTAGAACCGGTGTTGAATCCGTTTTGACTGATTGTGTTTCATTATCGCATACTTTAAATGCTAATAATGGGGCAACACGAGCTAATTCTTTTGCGGCTTCAATTCGACAATCTTCAAAGTCATGTGGCCAACGAAGTGTAGCATTAATAACCGGTCGAGCTATTCGTCGGATTAATGCGCGTGTTTCAATTGTACATTCTTCTTGGTTTAATGTTGTACGAAATATGGAATAGTTCCTAAATGATGCCGGTTAGACACGTGCACCAGTTAAGGGCTCCTCCTTAGGAATTCGATTTTTCTCTGAAATGTTCGAAACTGAAGTAAGCATATGGATGAGTACGCCAAACTGTCACTTTTCAGAATCCATCTCAATTTGTCAAAAATTCAATGGTTTTTGAAGGTTTCCAAAAAAGATTTCTGAAAGCCCCAAAAAACAACCTTTTTCTTAAATTTCAAATTTCAATTAAAATTTTTTAAGCTTGTCCGCCCGATTTAACAGACATGGAGCTATGTTGAGTACAGTGTTCTGATCAAAATGTGATGTCCCGCAGGTTTTTAGGACTTCGCCTTTCAGCGTTATACGACTTTTGCTAAAGGCACTGAATTATAATAGCGTTATCACATCATTGCGCAGAATATGGTTTCGGCGCAACAAAATTATTATTCCTCCTAGACGATTCATCGTAAGACCTTCATTCTTTTTATGTTGAAAGTAAGACAACTATCTAAATTTTGTCCGATTATTGAATTTCGTTTTCTCTGCAGAGAAAAGTGGAAAATATTCGCCTGAATTTAAGACTATTTTTGTTATCGGAAAAAAGATGAGATGAGAGTGAGTTCAAGTACTAATAACTTTTTAGCTAAAAGAGCTAGAGAACTGCGGTTTTCACTATTAGGAAGAGCTACTCAGGGGACACAAACTAACTCATCGCAAGAAAAGAATTTCCGAAAGTTTTCACAGGCTAAATTTAGCGGACGAAAGTTGAAAAAATTAGCATGTTTATTTATCTTTTTCGCTAGTCTTGTAGGGCGAGAAGTCCTCTTTCAAATGGTACCTAAGTAACCCCAAAAATTTTGCTTCCTCGCGGAGCTACAGACGTTTTAATCGGCTGAGCACTCGTAAGGGACTTTTCGCTATAGAAAAGAAAAAATCGTGGAAACATAGGGTATCGACCATGCTGAATCTCGTGGCAAAATTCGTTTTTCAAAACACTTGCACAAACCTAGTGAAAACCTATATTGCGTGAAATAGCCCACTTGTGCCTATATTTGAGTAAAATTAAAAATTTCGTAATCCAGCTAAGATTAGTCCAGATCACGTCAGAATATCAAGATGTACTCTATTTGACCTGCTCATATACGGTTTTTTACTTGAGAATAGTAAAAAACATTGCTGTACTTCGGAAGGCGTCTAGAAAACCCTTTCAAAAACCAAAGTATTTTGTGTTGACTTTTATAGCTTTTTATTGAGCTCCATCATATAGAGCAGGTCAAATAGAGTACATCTTGATATTCTGACGTGATTTGGACTAATCTTAGCTGGATTACGAAATTTTTAATTTTACTCAAATATAGGCACA